TGCAACCTCTGCTTCTGGTTTCAGGTGATTCCCCTGGCCTCAGCCTCCAGAGCAGCTGAGACTACAGGTGTATACCACCACGCCCAGCTAATTTTTGTATTTTTAGTAGAGACGGGGTTTCACCATGTTGGCCAGGATGACCTCGATCTCTTGATCTTGTGATCCATCTGCCTCAGCCTCCTAAAGTGCTGGGATTACAGGTGTGCACTACTGCACCCCACCTTGATTTAGCATAATCCTTAAAGCCCTAGGATTTTCAGAATGGTGGATGAGCATTGGCTTCAGCTTAAATTCAAAGCTATATTAGCCCATCTAAAGAAGTCAACCTGTCCTTTGAAGCTTAGAAACCAGACATTGACTTCTCTTTATCTATAAAAGTCCAAGATGGTATCTTCTTCTACTAGAAGCTGTTTTGTCTACAGTGAAAATCTGTTGTTTAATGTAACCATCTTCATCCATGATCTTAGGTAGCTTTTTCTGGATAACTTGCTGCAGCTTCTACATTAGCACCTATTGCTTTACCTTGCACTTTTATATTATGGAGATGGCTTCTTTCCTTAAACCTTGTGAACCAACCTCTGCTAGCTTCAGACTTTTCTTCTGCATCTTCTTTACCTCTCTTGACCTTCATAGGATTTATAAGAGTTAGGAACTTGCTCTGGATTAGGCTTTGGCTTACAGAAAGCTTGTCCAACCCTGGCCCATGGGCCACATGCAGCCCAGGATGCCTTTAAATGCCGTACAACACAAATTCATAAATTTCTTAAAATGTTATGAGATGTTTTTGAGATTTTTTTTCTCATTAGCTATTGTTAGTGTTCGTGTTTTTTATGTGTGGCCCAAGATTATTTTTCCAGTACGGCCCAGGAAGGTCAAAAGATCGGATATCCCTGGCTTAGAGGAAGTGGCGGCTGGTTTGACCTTCTGTCCAGACCACTAAAACTTTCTCCATAACAGCAGTCAGAAGTTGCATTTTGTCATTTGTGTGTTCACTGGAATAATACTTTTAATTTCCTTAAATAGTGCAAGAAACCTATCTTAACATGCCTTCCTCACTAAGCTTAATCATTTCTAGCTTTTGATTTAAAATGAGAAACATGCAATTCTCCCTTTTACTTGAACACTTAGGGGCCATTATAGAGTTATCAATGGGGCTAATTTCAATATCCTTGTGTCTCAGGAAATAGAGAGGCCAGGGGAGATGGGGAACGGCTGGTCAATGGGGCATTCGAAATATGCAGATTTATTGATTAAGTTCTCTATCTTATGTGGTCATGGTTCATGGTGTCCTAAAACAATTACAATAGTAACATAAAGATCACTGATCACAGATCACCATAACAGCTATAACAATAATGAAAAAGTTTGAAATATTACACGGATTTCTAAAACATGACACAGAGACATGAAGTAAGCACACACTGTTGGAAAATGGCACCGACAGACACAGGGTTATCACAAGCCTTTAATTTGTAAAAACCATATCTGCAAAGTGCAGTAAAATGCGTAAAATGAGATATGTCTGTATAATGGTTATATTTATGTAAAAACTGCCTTTAAATGTGGGAGATAAAATGTAATAACAGATTGTTTTTAGAGAATTTGATTATGAGTTTATTTTAATATGTCCTTAAAACAACAAAACAAATATATTAGTTTGGGTTTTACATCAATCAAGCAGCAATGTCTGAATTGTCATTTTAGGAAAGATAACTGTCTAAATGTTTGGCATACTTTAGGTAACTATATGATGAAGAACTCTACTTCATTTAAACAAAATTACAGTTTTAGTCAATATTTTAAAATTGTTTATGATTTTTAAAAGTTAACTTTCCTTAGTGTATATTTAACAACTTTGCCGTAGTATTCAGGCATTACATTGTTATCAGTATTAGTCAAGTTTAATTGCTTTATTCATTTCAAATTGAACTTGGTGTTATAAGTTCTATTATAGCTATTACCTTCTTTTAGCTGTATAAGTTCTTCAGGACATTATTTATATGAATTTTATCTGGCTTGTAAGGAAACACAAACCTCATAAAACACAAATTTTAAAAGATTTTTAAAAATTTGGCCATTTTCAATAAATTGAAAAAGTGGAAGTTATTGAAAATATTTTTCAAAAATAAAGTCTATAAAAATATTTTTTTTAATTGTGAAACACTTATCCATTAGCTCCACATTCAAACTTTCTTTCTCCCAAACTTACACAATGTCCTGAATTATTCAGACAAGCAAAGATAAGTAAGGAGTCTAAAGAATGTGGTTTGTTTTTTACCTTTAAAACTTGGACAGTGATTTGGAAGTGCAGCTTAGTACAACTCCTTTTCTAAATAAAATTCTGCTCCATCTGCAACTCTGAACATGTAAACTGAAGGGGCGTTTCCCTTGGCCAGTGCCTGACCTCCGTTCACACCTTGGTCTGGCGTGACCTCGCCGACACTGTACACTGCAGCCATATAAATCAGATTTTTGACATGTTGTAAAATGCAAGTCACAGCTCCCATTATCTGCAATATTCAAAAACTTTTGAAACACTGCATGTCCAACAAAATTTATTTTTTGTGTGAATGTAAGTTTTTATTGAGGGTAAGTCCTATTTGTTTGGAAAAAAGGAACAGTATGAGCCAGTGATTTTTAAAAATCAGATAGATTTAATGTTCTCCGTCCTGCCTGTTCTCGCTTGTGTGTGCTCTCTCTTGATCCGTTGCTCGCTCGCTCTCTCTGCCTCTCTGCTTGTCTAAGAGCAACTGGCTTTGAGAGAGACCTTGATATTACAACTGTGTTAGCAGATTGAGATTTCTGTTAGTCTTTCTGTTTAGGTCAGGAGTAATTGTTCTTCATAGAACAGAATTGAAAGCTTATAATCATACTGTAAGTATAAATGCTTCACCTCTTCAAATATATGTTTTAATTCCTTTGTTTCTGTTATAACAGGAAACTTCATATATAATTATGTCTTATTAGCTACACTGATTTGCCAGATGCCAGATATTTTGTGTGTGTGTGTGTGTGTGGTTAACATTTTCTTTCTTTTTTTTTTTTTAAATTTATTTTAAGTTCTGGGATACATGTGCAGGACATGCAGGTTTGTTACATAGGTAAATGCATATAATGGTGGTTTGCTGCCCCTATCAGCCCTGGACATTTTTTAAAAGAAAGGTTTGCACAGATAGGTAAACGTAATGTGCAATCTATGGTAAACTTAAAAGTGGTTTTGTAAAAGTTTTAAAGGTTCTATAGAAGTGCAAAAACTTGAAATGCAATTAAAGATTTTTCTATGGTACATTTTGGCCATTTTCAATAAATTGAAAAAGTGGAAGTTATTGATTCTGCTTAAGAGTCAGATTGTAAATAAGCTTTGTGAAAAAGCAAAAAGTCAGTTCAGTTCATTCAGTTTTATTTACTGTCTCATATCTTTCATGTAAAATTCCATATAGCACTCTACTACATTAATAATGTTTACTAAAAATAAGCCTTATTAGACTTTTCTGCAGAGAGATGTTTAAGATTAAATTATATTATTTAGGCAATGATTTATATTAAGTACACTTATATTATTTAATATAGATCTTTTAATTTTACTTGTTTATATTTTTTGATATGTACTGTAATAGGTATCTAAAAATGCTGTAACTAAAATTTGTCCCTACTGTATATCTTTTCAACATTTAAAAATATTGCTATTAGAATATTTGACATTTTATAATGCCCTTAAAAGAAGACAATTTTCCCTGAATTTTTTAGGTGCTGTTTTTTAACCCTAATCTCTTGACCAAGAATGAAACTATTTAAAAATTAAGATGCCAACAGGTAATTTCTTATATATTTATATATTTTTTCAATGTGTCAACAGCAATAGAACAACAACCAAAAATGTGTATTAACACAAGGCTGTATTATTCTCTTCCAACATCATTGGAAGAGATGTGAATATGAAATATTTCAAATATGAAATATTTTGTTTTTAGAGACCTTCCTTTATGACATAAAACTGTTTTATTTAGGTTTATATATTTTATTGGTTTTACTACCTGATGAATTCTAGCTTATTCTATACCTGAAGTCAACTCAAATAATAAGGAAATAGAAGTCAGAATAAAAGTAGATTCAGAAACAGTGATTCAGGCTAGTTTTCTTTGCTGATAAAATAAACACCAGATGTTGAGATATGTCTGATTATAATGTGATTAAAACAAGGACATTAATTTTAGTGCAATAAAGTTACATTCCACCCTCAGTGGAAAATCATATATGATGACTCCCATGATGCTGATGTAATCTAATGTAATGTAGTGTAAATATTATTTTTTAGCCAAATTATTCTGGAAAATTTTTATAACCTTGTTGAAAGTTGTTTCTTTAGAGAGAAGCATGGCATTATGTAAAAAAGAAAAAAATCTAAAAATTCATTTTGGTTGATTTTACTTTCTATTTTACCAGTTCTCTGTAGTTCTGATTTCCTCTTTACATTTTTATACTCTTATAATGTGATGCTGAAACACGATTTTCTCAATTCTAAAGTAGAACAAAAGTTTTAAAATTTGAAATTCTGATTGTGGAGATATCTGACTCATAGCCATTATATCTTAGCAAGTATTGATATTTTAGTGGCACATAAATGCTAGATGATTTTTTAAATTAATATACTAGTTTTAATGCCAAATTGGAGTCCCAATGGAGTAATGCCATTTTCTTCCTCCCGTTAGATGATTCTGGGTCATTTCCTAGACAGAAACAATCAGAAACTAACAATGTACAATTGTAACGCAATATAATTTCCCCTTTAAAGCTGAAAGATAAAATATTCAGCAATTTTCTCTTCTAATCATAAATTACTAGTATAATGACTCGATGAATCCTTCTGTTATTCTGTCTAATTTTTTCGATACAATGTAGCCAGGGATTTTTTATAAAAGGTCTTAGGGGTGTGAGGCTGCAAGGAAGGAGAAGTACCAAGGGAGAAAGAGAAGGCAGAGAGATAAAGATAAAGGAAGGGTCAAAGATAAAGACGTTGGGGCTGAAGAAAGAGGAAGGAGAGAGAATAAGAGAGAAGTGGAGGTTTATTTTCTTAATATTCTGAAAGATTCAGCTGTATATCAAGCTATGACTTAGGTTTTTAGTTTTTCTTTGTAACTTTAGGTATATCTTTATATTTAGTAGCTGTTACCTAAAATCTTATAAGATTATTTTTGGTTTCTGACATTTAGATTGTCATATAGGAACATTTAAAGTTAATTTTGGAAATAAAAAGTTAATTATCAAAATCCTTTACCAGCCATAGTTTGATATTAATGTATTTGAGACCTAATAGGAAAAATAAGAATCTAAATTCTCGACAGGGGAACTCTAGGTAATACTGCCATATCTCTGTAGCAAGTGAGAAATGCCCTGTTTGTTCAAAGATCCTAATCACTTCCTTTTAGTCTAACTAATAAATATATTCCTTATTTCTGTTATATAGTGTCTAAATCCATTATAGCTAATGGCCATATTTTTAGAACGTAATTTTTTTCTCAAAGACTTAGAAGTCCCAGAAGTCTGTCAAATAAGGAATAGGATTAAGTCTTTCATTATGAGAAAAAAATTCTTCATTCTGATTTTCAGAATTGCTACTTCAGATTAAGATAGTGATTTCTATTCCTGGTTGCATTAGGAAAACTTTAATTTGCTTTTCTCTGTTTTTTTTATATATATATATGTGCTTTAGATCACGAAGAGCCCTGTGGTCCCAGTCACAAGTCATTTTGCCTGAATGGGGGGATTTGTTATGTGATACCTACTATTCCCAGCCCATTTTGTAGGTGAGTGAAATGGACTCGGGGGAGATGTTAACTTTATTTTTTATTATCTACTAACTTCTTTGAGAAGTGGTAAAGAGTAAACAAAAAATGTAAGATGAAAAACTGTGAGACATATTCTTCATATTTAGGTAAAATTATCCTTTTAAAACAAAACAAAATAGCACATAAAAATCTCACTAGTCAAGGTGTTTGTTCTGAAAATTGGTAACAGTAGTTTCTGGCCTAGATATATTTTTTTAAAAAATAATTTCTTTTACTGAACTCTGATTTTAGCAATTTAAGGAAGGCAGCCTATGCTTAATATTGGCAAAACAGCTAGGGAATTCTCTAATCCAAAAAATCCAATATGAGATACTTTATTTTGAGTTTATAAAACATAAACACATGATAACTGAGTTGGTACCAAAACTTACACTTTATATATTAAAAGCAAAAGAAGAGTTAAGTTTTTCTAATGGTGCTAGCCAATAAAAACGAAGGGTGTCTTAGCCACTATTGTTTTAAAATAATATAACTCACTGTGGGTGTATAGGGACCAACAAAAAACTTCAAAATAGTACTTCTGTAGCCAGCTTCCTATGAGTTTGGTTGAACAGGATTTAAGTGTATATAATAAACCTCTTTCAGTGTATGAGTTAACATCGTAGTACTGCCATATACTGTGGCACTAACACCTGACGATCTCAAGGTATTTTGTAATGCATGTGAATTACTCTTTTTCGTTCTTTAACTGAAATGAGAAGTATAGAATCTAGATCTATATAGTATAGTACAGAATCTAGAATCAAGATCTGGCTGCATAAAAAGGATAGAAAAGGAAAATTCATAGGAAAAGTTAAAGGTTATTGGGTTGTAGTATGGAGGAGAGGAGGCAGAGAGAAATAACCTCATAATTATCTCAGGAACTTTTTAGGGCTTTTCATATGGGGAATAGTGCCCCCGGGTATTTTTCTTCTCTGGTGAGTATGAAAAGGGAAGGGGATGGAGGAACAAATTAACAATTACTTAACATTCATGATGTGGCTCAATAGTATCCTTTTTTGGTTTTTTGATCTATTTACTGGGATATAATTTATGTATAATAAACTGCATTCATTTAAAGTACACATAGATTAATTTTGACAAATGTTTGTAGCTGTGAAGTCACACCACCATCACATCTAGACATAGAACATTTCCATAGATAGTCCCCTCAAATTTTGTTGCTGACTCTACTCAGCACTTCATTCTCGCAAACACCTTAGAGAAAGGAGGCAGGGAAGACCTTAGAAAATAGTTTAAAAAGAAAAAAAGGAAAGAAAATAAAAAGAGATAATGAGAAATTAGGTGACATGCCAAAAGTCATATTGCTGGGAAGAAGAAATGGCCTTTGAATAAAACTCCCAAGTTTCACTTAACTTTATAACATATTCATTCTGAATTCTTTCTAAGGTGATATGGCATATAGCATGTATAAAATAAAACAAAAATGCTTATCAGAAGAAGTACATTTAATAATTTAAAAATACTAAAATTTTGTGTGCTGATCTTGATGACGGCTACATGGGTATAAAGACTATCCTTTCTCCACTGAATTGCCTTTGCTGCTTTGTCAAAAATCAGTTGATCGTATGTGTACAGGTCTATTTCTGGACTATTGTTTTCCATTGATCTATGTTTCCTGTCTTTTCACCAATACCAGTCTTAAAAAACATAGATATATAATGAGCAATATCAGGCAGCAGGATTCGTTAACTTGGTTCTTCGGCTCAATGATCTTTGGCCTTATTTTCTAATAGGCAGTATTTAATGTTAAAAATTTTCAAGTACATTTCTGTTTTGTCTTGCATTGCATAGTTTGTTGTTCAGTTTTAGGTTTACACATTTTTTCATTATGATTTCTTCTGTAATCTATAGGGTGTTTTCCTATCCTTTATCCTTTTGTATTTATATCTGATTTAATGGCATTGTGGGCCAATACTTGGTGCATCAAGCTGTGCACTTAATATCTATCTGTATACTACGCATCTGTTATGTCTCATTGAATAAGTTGAAAGAAAGAACTAAGAATGCTGGAATTTGGAGATTCGTTAAAATGGAAAGAAAACTAGGTTGTCATCCTGACTTTGTACCTTGGATAGGTGCATTTTTAGTGTGTTTTCAAAAGTTACCAATGATAGAGAATGCCCACACCTGGTGTAAAAACGTATATAGTTTCTTTCTAATTTCAGAATAAGAGTAGTAATTAGGGAGTAGTTGAAACCATGCCCTACGGGTTCATGATGGATAGAGAATGAAGCAAGGTCTCCACATTGCACAACAGCAGGAGGTTCTGCGGCTTGGCACCCTCTTTGGAATGTGAATGCTGTATTCTGGAGTTGCTAAACACCCTGGAAGGAAGTGGAGTAGGGGAGCAGGGTAGGGAACAAAAGGGTGACTGAGAGAAAAGGAAAAAAATATAGTGATTGATGATTCAGTGACATTGAATGGCAGATATATTTTAAATCGTATTTTATAAAAATAATTGCTTTCCGGCGGGGCGTCTTGGCTGACGCCTGTAATCCCAACACTTTGGGAGGTTGAGGCAGGTGGATCACAAGGTCAAGAGATTGAGACCGTCCTGGCCAACATGATGAAACCCCGTCTCTACTAAAAATACAAAAATTAGCCGCGCGTGGTGGCGTGCACCTGTAGTCCCAGCTGCTTGGAAGGCTGAGACAGGAGAATCGCTTGAACCCAGGAGGCAGAGGTTGCAGTGAGCCCAGATTGCGCCACTGCACTCCAGCACTCTAGCCTGGCGTCAGAGCAAGAGTTCGTCTCCAAAACAAACAAAAAAAATTGCTTTCCACTTATCTTAGGACCACATTTCTAATGTAGTCGTATATGCTATAATAGCAATAGCTAAGAGTGATAAACTCATTTTCCAACCCACTTCATACTGTTTTCTGCATTTCCTGTTTCTATTACTGACACCGCAACCGTCTTGTCACTGAGAAATCCCAGACTTATCTTTGACTGTGTCATTGCCCTCTTATCCAGTTGTCAAATCCTATTTCTATCTTTGCTGTATCTTTCATCACTCTACTCCTTTCTGTTCCTACTATCATTATAGTAGCTCAGAGTTTCTTAACTCCTTGTTTGGTCTATAGAAATAGTCCCTCACCAATTTTCCTGGAGCCTAATTCTCATCATTTCTCCAGTTAAAACAAAACAAAAAAACCTTCAGTGACAGCCCTCGCACCTATCCATCTACCACTCATGAAATAATATCTCACTTTTTAACCTAGCTCTTTCAGCCTTCTACCATTTGACCCTCAAACTACTTTTGTGGCCTTTTCTTCCTTGGTCTGTGTTCTAACTAGAACCATTCACTGTTTATGTTAGATATACTTTGTGTTATGCTGCCTGCCAACCCCTCCTCTTTCTCCTCCTCCTCAGTCTACACGAAAATAAAAATGACAAGGATGAAGACCTTCAGGCTGATCTACTTCCACTTAATGAATAGTAAGAAGTATATTTTCTCTTCCTTACAATTTTCTTTTCTCTTTCTTTCCTTTTTTGTTTTTTTCTTAAGACAAGGTCTCTCTGGCTGGAGTGCAGTGGCGCAATCTCAGCTCATTGCAAACTCCACCTCCCAAGTTCAAGCGATTCTTCTGCCTCAGCCTTCTGAGTAGCTGGGATTACAGGTGTGTGCCACCATGCCCATCTAAATTTTGTGTTTTTAGTAGAGGTGAGATTTCACCATGTTGGCCAGGCTGGTCTCGAACTCCTGACTTTAGGTGATCTGCCCACCTCAGCCTCCCAAAGTGCTGGGATTATAGGCGTGAGCCACTCTGCCCAGCAATGCCCCCCCA